TTATGAGTTTTGCAGGGATAAAATTCAATACATCTCTCAAGCTCCTTCATGCGCATCTGTGCTAACTGGGAGATGATAAAGCAATGTTTCCTAACGCGACTCCCATGGAAGATGGCACATCTCCCCAGTGGAAGAGAGCTTCCCCTCTTGATATGATACTCACTCTTGGCAAAGCTCACTCCAAAAAACAACCTAGAAAGGCATACACTTTGTCTTTGTCAGTCTATCTTAATACACAGCAGTATTTTAGATTCTAGACCTCTAGGCAAGGTCTGTGACGGTATTAATCATCGTGCAGGCAGGGTGCTTCACAATGGTGGCATTGATACGTCTTTTATTCTTGCACAGTGGACACTACATATAGCCCAGGGATCGATGTCAAGGCTTCTCACCTCTCATTCTACCCAGAAAGCTACATCTCAGGATAAAAACTGCTCCTGATGTTGCTCCAGATGGAAGAAGAAGGTGGAGAGTTAAAAGGTCAGCGCTACAGGTAAAATGTGAAGAGAAAAATCCCCCAGGGTTCCTCTTGTTTTGGAGGTTTTGTAGCTGGGAGCTTCAGAGAAACCTCCTCAGCAGCTGTCTCCCCACCCTGGAGGCAGAAGAGAAGAAGTGAGATTAATAGAACAACAACAGCACACACACACACACACACACACACACACACACATACACGCACACACACACACGCACACACACACACGCACACAAGCACACACACACGCGCACACACACACACACACACACACAGAGACATCCTTCACAAATTCTATTCCTCATCTATGGACAAGTTCAAGGCACAAATGTCAGGGCTAGGTGAACAGTGCTGGACAGGCTGCCACCCTGCTGTCCCTTGAACTCCTGTTCCTTGTTGCAGAGTGGAAGGAGTGTCATGACAATGACCACCTCCGTATAAGCAGTAGATTTTTCCCTTGTTCTCTTGGTAAAAGGAAGCCTGTGAAGCAAGGGGACACCTCAGAGCCTTCCCTCCTGACAGCTGGGCCCAGTGACTAGGACTGCCAGGTGCTGGGGTAGTGGGGGGATGGGAAAAGCAGGGGCCCCAAGGCCATGCCTGTGTCCGGAAAGACTTCCACTCTGCCCTTCTACTGCAGGCTGCAGCAGGCCCATTCCTGCTCCACGGCCTCTCTCAGTCTTCACTTTCCATATTCATGTTTATGGAAATTAGAAGCCCTGAAGGTTTAATTAGGAGACCATGTTGGGAGAAGCAATCTGCTGAGTTTGATGGCCAGGCAAGGGAAGCTTGTAGGCTCAGGCATGGGACATTTGAGTATTTAAATAAAGAGAACATTCCATGTCCAGAGCAGTCACCTAGCAACAGTGGAAGCTGGTTCCATGTTCTTCTTTGGACACCCAGTTGAAATGGTTTTGCCTTAGAAGAGATCATCTAATATCAAAAAAGGTCCCTCAGCCTCTCTTTACAACAGCCTTTATAACAATGAGCTTAGCCACTGAAGAAAATTAAACCCTCACCAGCCAAATAGCTCAGCGGTTTAAAGTGCCTGCTTAGGAGACACAGAGGTCGAGGTTTCGATCCCCGGCCTGCTGTGCAGGACCTGCCACAATTGAGACTGGGCATAGCGACGCATGCCTGAAATCCCAGCTCTTGGGAGGCTGAACACAGGCGGATCACCACGAGTCCAATCTACATAGTGAGACCCTGCAAACCCTGTCAACCCTTACTAAAATAATTTTTTAAAAAAGGAATAGAAAAGAAAAGAAAATTAAACCCTCAAATGCCTGAGAGGGCCCTGGCATGAGAACTCAGTGGGATCCTACAGGGAAAGTGCCTGGGGGCACCGAGGCACTTAGCAAGACTAAGCACTTGTGACCTTGCAAAAATGCCTTCCGAGTCCACAGAGGGCCCACTATAGGCCACTCCATAGAGGTCTGCTAAAGGAGTGGTGAGGGGCTGCTTGCCTTGAACTCTGACCTCTTAAGCCCAGGGTATGTGAACAATTAGAAGTGTGTGACCTGCACCAAGTTCCTTCTCTCCTTTGTTCTCTCCCTCATGTCACTGTGATGAGGACTCAATGAGGGAATTATAATACATTAACACCATCCCTGGAGGGAATATACTAGCTGCCCAGTGAACATTAACCCTCTCTATCACATATTTACTTCCTTTGAACACTGAGTAAGGAGAATGCTTTCTGTGGACACACGACACAGACATTTCTTTATCAGGAATAATAGCACTGCTTTTCCTGTGGACCAATCTGCTGACTTCACTGCTTTGTGGGAAGGAAGGAAGGAAAGAAGGAAGGAAAGAAGGAAGGAAGGAAGGAAGGAAGGAAGGAAGGAAGGAAGGAAGGAAGGAAGGAAGGAAGAAAAGAAGAGTTCACAAGCTGGTTAGGGCACCCAGGTGAAAATATGAATGGGAAAATACTTTGGGATCTGTGTTATCATGAATGGAAATGTTTAAATTGATCCAAGAGGGTACTTATAAGAGACAGGGTCATCTAATCATGGTTGTAATTCTCTTATTTATGCAATTACTCAAGCTCTCTGTGCTCCCATCTGCAAAATGGATTAAAAAGCAAACATAAGCTTCATGGGAGCTTAAAAGTGTATACAAGATGCTTAGAAGAGGGCTTGATATATCATAAACATAACAGGTAATATCTACACTCTCCTTTCGTCGTTGTTCTTGCCATCACTATCGCTAGCTGTTCACGCGGTAATCATGGCCATATGTCCTTTGAGGAGATGTATTTCATGCTTACACGTCACTACCAGGTAGGGACAGTTTCCTTTCATAGAAGCTGCCACGTCAGATGGGTTTTTTCCAGGCCACAGCTATACAAAGCAGACTCTGTGGCTTCAAGTTTTAAAATCAAGGTGCTGTAGGCAAAAGTCAGGGCCTGTCTACTTCCTACTTGGATGAATTGTCTATTGTTGGGGTGCTGGATTCCTCCAGTAGGTGGCATGAGGTGAAGGTTTGGTTTCTTTCGCCAGGAAAATCCAGTGGGCAATGATGCCAGAGACAGAGTCTCTCTGAGGCCAGTCCATGTAGAAACACAGACAAGCTGCGAGGAGGGGCCCTGATTCCAGAGCACTCCCAGGGGCCCGCCCTCAGGGGATGCGTGCTCTTATAAAGCTTCATATTGCACTGCAACAAATTGTCGCAGGCCTAGAGGCTAAAGCAGCACAACTTAATCTATACACAGGATAGTTTGGATAGTTGTATTTACCATTTCTTCTGGTCCTTTCAAAGGAACAGTTAATGCTTAAATTTCTTTTTTCTTTGCACTCTGCTTTTTTTCCTATCTTGAATATCTTATGACTTCTTTGTTACTGTTTTGTTTTGTTTTGTTTTGTTTTGTTTTCTTTAAATGAATCTTGCACATTTATATCTGGTAATCTGAACAACTAATCTGCAGACAGCATCATGTAATATAGCAATTATTATTGAATTCCTATTACTTTGTTTAGTGAAAATTTTTATTGCATTTTTCTACAGGGTCTCACTGCACAGATTGGACTCGTAGTGATCCTCCTGTTTTTGCAGCCTCCCAAGTGCTGGGATTACAGGCTCACGTTCCACCATGCCGTCTCAATTCCCCTTCCTTGGGGGTGGGGCCAGCACTGCTCACTGGGGAGCGACACAGTCTCTTTGTCTGCCTAAGCAGGTGCCTTAATCTGCTGAGCTATTTTAGTCAGTCTTGTTTAGTGAAATCTTGTATAGTTTTTAACGCTTTTTTGGGTTTTTTTTTCTCTATCACTATTTTGTATTCTTTAAAAATTAAAGCAGCACAAATTTATCATCCCATCATTCTGGAGGTCAGAAGTCTAAAATCAAACTGTCAGACTACAGTTCTTCTAGAGGTTACAGAGGTGGGTCTGTATCCTTGTCATTTCTAGCTTCCTCGGGCCAACAGCACTGCTTGACTTTGATCCCGTTTTCCATTTTCAAAGGCAGGATTCTAGCATCTTCTCTGCCTGATCTTCCTGAGTCCCTCTCATAAATAGTCTCATGCTTACAATGGACTCACCTGAATAATCCATGATAATCTCTCTTCCCATGTCATTAATCACATCTGCAAATTCCCTTTTATTGAGACAGTAACCCACATATGAGTTCCGAGCATTAGCACATAGGTAACTTTGGGGAGCCATTACTTAGCCTACAACAGAGATTAATTCTGAGCACCCACAGGGCTCATCCCAAATTGCCAAGGACACCTCCCATAGGATGTGAGCACCCTAGGCAGGTTCTTGGGATGTCAATTTGGCATGGTCTCCTTCCATCAGGGCCATTATAAGGGGATTTTAGGATCTTCCTGGCCTCCGGTTCAACAGCTCTAGACTAGGAGGCACTCAGTAAACACTGTAAAATGCTTCATGATTGAGTAGCCTTGGCTTCTCCACCTGGCCTTACTTAGGTTTCTTATGGATGAATTAGATGTCAATATAACACACATTCCTGAGCTTGAGTGTAAGTGATATCTTTCAGGAATGGACCTGCCTGGAGAATCCAGTTTGAGTGACCAGAGACAAGAAAGGCCAAAAGTTCACATGGAAAGGCAAGGTAGCTGTAAGGCCGAAGGCCTGAAAAGGGCCATCTAAATGGGCAAGCATATGGCAGCAATGGAAGAAAACAAGCCATAGCCAGGCCGAGGTATACCTAGCTGCGTGAGGGGTGAGAGGGATGGTCAGTGTCCTTCACAGCAGTACCACTCACATTGGCACCTGGAAAGCCCCAAACCTGGGCCAGACTCACCTTACCAAGGGGGAAATTAGGGCTCAGAGAAAGAAAGACCCAAACACAGCTGGCCAAAGTCCCAGCACCTGGCCCTTGATCCAAATCCTTCTTTCTGCATAAAATCATTGCTGTCACCTCTCTGGGAGCCAGTCATGTGACCATGTTACCCAAAGCATTACCCAGGCCCCAAGAGTGGTAGAGAATGTGACAGACATAATTAGAGTTCAGTGCAAACTCAAGTACTGCTTAAAATAAAGCTAGCTTGAAACATGAATAATAAGTTGGTGGTGAACATTTTACTCAATGAAATCCTTCTGACAGAACATGATCTCCTTTTATGGAAGAATTTCTTAATCCATGTCTGCAGGAATCACAGCTCTAAAGGCAGGAAGAACATACCTGAGACAACTAAAAGAGAAGAAAGAGAAGGAGAGGAAAGGAATCACAGGGGACAAGACAGAGACAGAGTGAGCTGGAATCAGTGTCCTGGGCGAGTGAGTGACAAGAGCAGAGGCTGCTGCAGGGTCCTGGAGGTCACTACCTTAGCCATTGTGAACTCAGGAGTGGGGCTAAGAGGGAGAGGCTCCAAGAGCCTGAAGCAGGGGCTGCCTTTAGGTGGGTGCAGAGTCCACACACGCAGCATGAGGTGGAGAGGGCCAGACTCGTCTTTCAGACATCATCAGATGGAGGCATGAACACTTCCAGACCACGCAGATCTCAGAAGGGTAGGAGGACTTCACTTCATGCTAAGCTCGCATCCTATGAAAGTAGCTGCCCACCAGTTTTCTGTGCTTGTCATAACTACTGTGAGGAGGGGCAGATTTGTCACAAACAAATTGGGTTTTTAGTTTTCTTTCCTTTTGTTATCCCATCTCTACACACAGTATTAAATTGAATGATTTCTCCAGCCAGCCAGATCTTAGCTTAAGCCCATCTTGCTCACAGTGGCACAGCCAGGCAAGGCCTCCTTCCCTCTGTTCCTCCCTCTCTCCCTCACACATAAGTGCAACTCACTCTCTGCTCTCCTGGCCTGGGGCTTAAGCCCCCTAACAACCCACCTCTTGCCCAGTGACAGGTCTGCTCATGGCTCCTCCCATCTCTTGCGCCCTAGTCCCCCTTCCCAGGATCCTCCCTGAAGGCCTTCCATTCTGTTCTCTTGTTCCTTCCACACTACCCACTCTCTTGCAGCCTTCACTGCCAACAGATCTTCTCATATGCTCAGGAGCCACTCCCAATCACCCCACATACTGTCTGCGGCTTCCCTTCAGGGCACCTTTCTTCAAGAGATGATCCCAGCTTGGGCTTACTCCGACTTCCTCCTTTGTGGATGCAGGTGGCCATGGAAATCTCCCATCTTCATTCTGGAAATCCTATGTCAACTAAATGCCCCTCTGAGCTCCCTACTGCAGCTTCTCTTCTTCTGTCCCCTTTCCACCTATTTTGTTGCAGGGACAGAACACCTGACGCATGCAACTTAAAGGAGACAAGGTGCATCTGAGATCCCAGTTTTGGCAGGTTCAGTCCACGGTCACTTGCTTCTGGGCAGAACATGGTGGAAGGCATCAGGAGGACAGCGGGCTCCCTCACAGCCACCTGAAAGTGGAGCATGGGGTAAGAACCAAACAGGGATAAGCCCAAGAGCAGATAGCATTTCCAAGATCCTGCTCCCTTCGTCTACCCAAGCACACTCAGAAGATTGCTTTACCGATCCCCAAGGCATCTCTCCCGATAATCAAGCCATCAATTAACCATTGCATCCCCTTTTTCTCAAGAAAAGGAACAGGGCAGGATTTCCCCCACAGTGCCACTCTGGCACCATGTCCTTCAGGCCTGATGACTTGTGGCTGTAATCTTACTAGCCCCTGCAGGACCCCTGCAGATGCTCTTCTGCCCAACACTGTTGGGTTGCAATTCTGAACTTTGCACCACCTCAGGGCCCACACCCCTCAGCTCCAATGTGTCTGCACAATGTGTAGTACACACAGCAGATATGAGACCCAATACACACATACACACACACACACACACACACACACACACACACACAC